TCCTTTCTTCTCTCTCTCTCTCTCTCTCTCTCTCTCTCTCTCCACTTTCCCTCTCTCACTGGACCTGCGTAACCTTGTTTACTTCACACAGGTAGGCCTCTTCCCTTTTCTCTCTCTACCTGTAATATTCCCCTTTCTCTCTCTCTCTCCATTTTGTCTTCGGAAACCTTACTCCATGGCGTTCTACACTTGATTGTTTGTCTTTAGACTTGAACTATCTAATTAGGATGGCTCTGGAATTGCAACTGAAATTCTGGAATTGCAACTGAAAAAAAATGAATTTTTGGGTTAGATGGCGCTCTCAATCATTGAAAGATTTAACGTTTTCTCAATTATATATATATAGATTACATTATCGATAGACTGTAATTTTTGGTATCTATGATTAAACCTTAATCTGAAATAACTCTGGGTATGGTATTTGCGTTTTCTTTCTTGGTAATTTTTTTTACCGCTTACTCAATGATATGGTGTTTGCCGAGTTAGATTGGGATTAGGGTTTTTATTGGCTGTTTTCTTTTTGGAATGTGATTCTTGAGTAAATTGTAGTCATAGATAGGCTGGGAATTTTATTCGGTTATTATTATGGGTTTGCCTTGTTCTTTTTTTTTTTCCTGCAAATTAGACTGTTGGGCACTTACAATTATTGAATTTATTTAAAGCAGTGATCTGAACTTTTTGAAATTTTGCTAGGAGACATGAAATTTGGTGGTGCAAATTATTAATATTTTACTTCAAACTTTTCTTTTTTTGCTAATGTGATGCATGAGTATGCCTTCCTTCTGTAAATGCTTTCTAGAAATCTACAGGGAAAGTATTGGTCCTTTTTGTAGTTACCCGGTGTTCTCAAAGTACTGAAACTTGTGATCTTAATCTGTTTTTAAAATTTGTTAGGAGGCATGGATTTTAAAAGTAAAAGGTTTATATAGCATTGCAACAGTTTACAATAGGGGTAAGATGCACCTCAAAAATTCAGTAGAAAAGAGTGTTCTTAAGTTGAAAATCCAATTGGTCCTCTCCACTTCTAGATATGTATTGACATAAAGAAAAAAAAGAATTTTAAGTCCTAAAAATGATGTATCTTGTAACAAGTTATTAGGTCCGTTTATTTTAAAGATTTTCAAGTGTTTATAGGTTTGCTTGATTTTTGGAATTTTAAATTTCATATTTAGGGTTGAACATGGATTTTCAAGCCATTATAAGGATCTTATGGCAAAATTTACATGTGCCACTTGTATAGTATAAGGTGGGCATGTTATACAGGCCTCACCATTTTAAAATTACCTTTATTTTTGTTTTTTCCTTTTTTCTTTGCTAATATGATGCATGTGTTGATTTTCTAACAGAGAAAGCTTAAATAATGGGTGTTAATTATGATACCCCAAAACTGAGTTTGCGCCCTGATATTGAGATTGATGATGTTGAGTATGCTGGAAAAAAAAGCACGAGAAAAGATGCTTTGGGTGAGGAAGAGGAAGACTGGGGTTTGATTCCAAAGAGATCAAAAAAGGAAGAAAGGGATTTATCAGTCTCAGATGACGAGAGTGACTCAGAAAGAGACACAGTAAGAACCAGTCTTTAAAGCTTTTCTTTCAGGTAGATAAATGTTGCGTTTTATTCAATTTTTGGAAATAAGGGTGGGATTTAATCCATTTATCTCTCTTTCTCTCTCTCTCTCTCTCTCTCTCTCTATATCTATCTATCTAATCATCTATTTGCTTTTAGCCTTTCTACTCTACTTACTGGGTTTGTCATTTTGTTTTTGGAAAAGATAATTCTTCGTTCTTCAGAAACGGTTTATAGGTATCCCTTAAACAATAAAATGGAAAGTCCATATCCACTCTCTCATTTCTGTGTTAGAAGTGGAACACTCACAATGAATAGAAAAGAGGTAATAAAAAGTCATCCATAACAGAAGATGGCTAGAAATGAAAGATATGATTTCCTTACATTGCTCTTTAGGAAGTCTAAGCAAGGAAAAAGAATGTAAGCTTTAAAATATTTAAAAGGTTCATGGCTTGTGCATTTTGCCTTTCTGTTTGGCCACCATTCCAGCACAATACCAAAGCAAGAAACACTTCTGATGGAGTTCCATGTGCATTAAGTCACTTATTCTATTTTGCAAATGTCCTAGTATGATTTGTTGATTTTAGCCTAACATTTTATCTCCTTTCATGTATTAGTTGTGTATCAATGTTAATGATCACCCTATTTTGAGTTCACCCTATCTCTATACGCATTGACAATATGAGACGTTCCCAGAGTAGAAATCCCAATTCTCTGACCCAGGCAGCAACTCCACTTATAGTATGTCCTTTTATTTATTTAGTTGTTTTTATATTTGTCACATGTATCGACATCGAAACATTTCTACTTTTTTTTTTAGCTACATATAGACCTGTAATTTGGAAAGTTAATTTCCTACTATTTGGGGTTTATATTTTCTACTTATATTAGTAGCAGGGATGCTTGTTTCTCTGTTTTTGACTGGACACTGAAATTTGTGGAGTAGGATGGAGAAGATGAATCAGAGCAAGATATTCTTCAGCAGGATGATGAAATGCAAGAACTTCAAAAGGAATACGATAGCATCCGTGATCAACAAGAGTATGTTTTTATATTAGCAATCTATCTAGGAATCATAATATTTATAATTATAATCCAATGAATAATGATAAATTCATAGTTTACTGGGTCATCACTGTCCGATGAAATTATAGATGTTGATGGAGAGGGAGCTGGACTCGTCATGCAGCCATGTCCTGTAATGGTTGTCCCACTCCCTTCTCATCACCTCAATGGACAGTGATGACCCAAGCTATGGCTTTTCCATAGGCCATTGGGTTGTCCCCATCGGTCCATTATACCTACTCATTAACATAGACTTACCTGCATACGTACTTGGTGCTTCAGAGGAGATCCATCAATAATTGTTTGTATCAGTCTGTTATATTCTCTTGATTTGATTGCTGATATTTCACCAGCATTTAAAAGTGCATTTTTATGTCTAGATATGTTTTCTGATGGAAGGGAGAGCTATTATGGGGCATTGCTTTTTAGTTGTTATTTACTGGTGGTGATGGTTATGCTATTGGATAGCATTAGACAGCACAAACACATAACATACCTATCAACAGCATTGATTATGACCTCTCAAAAAGATTGCATTTTTTAGGATGATATTGGGTTATGCATAATTTGGTCTCCAAGCGGAACTCTATTAGGCTATTGGCAACTATTTCATGCTTTAGGTTTTCTAGAAATTGCACATGTATATAATGATTGGCGCTTTAGAGAACATCGAGTTTTGGTCCTGTTTGTCATGATTCTTGTCATGTGTTGCATGCATAAGCAACAAGTTATTCCTAGCCTTGTTTCATCTGCTTGGTTTTGTGTACTAGCTACTTTTATGTTGTTACTTTTAGAAGCTGCAAGATGCTTTTATGTTCTTTACAATGACTGGATGAGGCACTGCCAGGACTTTGGCATGGTTATTATTTAGCTTTCTAATCAAGCAGGTTCCCTATCACAGAGATATCTTGGAAATTTTGAAGCGAAACAAAGATGATGATGTACTGAAAGGTCAAGCTGTCAAAAACCAAAAGGTATTCTGTCCCAGTGGAGTTTTCTATTTCCAGAAATAAATGCATATCAATCATAAATAATTACATACATATTAATTATATAAAAAAAATATATTTTCCTTGAATTGGTTGGGGTGTGATGGCCCATGGTGGTGTCCTGTGGGGCTTTTGTTATTGGTGATATGAAATCTAAAAGCCTCCTAGGGAGAATACGTATGATAATTTCAAGTAATCTGTGAACATAGGTGGAGGTTGTCTGAGGTCCTTAGTGACTGGAAGAAAGTTGTTTTGGATTGGAAGCAATGTATATTTTTATTGTCTTAGTTTGCGCAGTGTTTAAAAATCGGCTCAGGGTAACTAACCCCATTGGTTGAGAGCTGGCTTGACCAACTCAGCGAGCCATAATCAGTGTTGCGTAGACACTTAATCTCCCCCTTGATGTCGCATGTCAACACGTATCGACACTTTGACATGTGTTACGTGTTCGACACCCTGCCCCATACCTGTCGGATGAATTTACTAAGTTACAATATGTATCAACACTTTATGTATAAGTGTCACAAGAAAAGGCTCATGGTCAGATGATAGAGTGTATTGCTCTCTCAAGAGAACTTGGCATTGAATCCCACGATGAGGATATTTTTTTAGGTGGGTTTTAAAATTGTGTTTAAAAATGTGTGTACCTGTGGGAGATGGGAATGGCATCTGGGACGTGTGACCAGCGGGTGGTAAGGGCTACCACCACGCAGGTTGGATAGATGTGTAGGATATTAGCATTTATTAATTATATAGGATATAAGTGGTTATCGGATAGAGACCATAATTATTTTTTTTTTAAAAAATGCCTTAATATAAGAAACAATTTTTGCAAATAAACGTCTATGTTTTTATACAAAATTATTTTAAATTTTACTTTTTTTTTTTGGGGTTCTGAAATGCAAATTCGACTTGGTGAGATTTGAGGTTGAATCATCCTAGAAAAATGTTAATAAGTCTACTAAAACAATAATAAAAAATGTTGACAATATTATGCAAAATATTATTAGTATTACTAATAAGGTTTTAAAACCATCATTTCGAAAATAAAAAGTAGAAACAAGAATGTTCTTTATCTTTTCTTGCATAAAATAAATTAATATTTTGAAGTTTGATATTTGTTATATTTTATTTTTTATCTATTATATTTAAAAGTGTGTATATAGTTCAATGGACTTGGTAGTGCGGTACTGGGTTTTTAGGCCAAAATACTAGACACTCAAGACACGTACTAGACACGAAACTCGTGTCCGTGTCCATGTAACATTTGCCATGATGTACACAGGTACCCTAAAAAAATTGAAAAAAAGAAAAAAAGGAGGGAATCTTAAAAAGGAGGAGTTAAAACTGAAATTTTGTTTTAGATCACATGTCGATTATTCTAGATTGAAGATAACCCTCTCTTCAATCTTGTGAAATCTTAAAAATAAAAAATAGAAAAGACGAGAGATAGGATTTTTTAGAAAATCTGAGGGTTTTTCAAGAAAAATAATATGATAAGAAAGTGGAAATTTACAAAAGTATTGTTTTAAATCATGCAGTACGTTTGTGGATGAAGATGACACTCTACCACAAGAAACCTAAAAAAATATTTAAAAAAATCAATACATAATCTTTTTAGAAAATTTGAGGCTTTTTTCAAAAGCTGTAGAAGCTTTTTTATGCTAGATCTCTTCTAACACGCTTTTCAATCCAAAAAATTGTGTTACAGATCTGTTAGAGGGCTCCACTGTGGATATTTTGTATCATTTCATGAATTTTGGCTGAGAACATTATTTGCCAGAAATCAAAGAAATAGACAGTTTTAAACTCGAACATGGCAAGATTTTTATTTCCCAATCTTGCTAAAAATCTCTATTGATTCTAAAATGTTTCTAAGGCTATTGTAGATCAACAGTAGATGGACAATTTGCAAGAAATTTGAGAGGGATTTGGTGAAGAAACAAGAGAGAATTCAAAATTTTAAGTTTCGATTTAACAAATTAAAAAAAAAAAACACATTAACCACCCAATTCCAGGGGGGAATAGAGCCGGTTCCCTGTGGTTCCCATGCCGACTCATGCGTTTTTGAGTCAGCTCCCCAATTTTGAAACCCTGATTTTTCATTTTAGGGGCACGTTTTCTTGAGCAAGTATAGCGATATTTCAGAGTATCTTTTTGTGTTACTTGTCAAATAAGTTAATAAGTATCTGTCATTATCTGATTACCTCTTAGCTTCTGGATATAGTCTATCAACAAATATAGTTTGTATTTAATTATTACTTTAATAATTCAATACTATTTGGATCCATTTTTGAGGAAATAACCGTTATTTTCAATTTTCTGTTTCCCGAAGGCTCTTTGGGATAAAGCTCTAGAGATACGGATTTTACTGCAGAAAGCATTCTCAAATTCAAACAGATTACCACAGGTTAGCTTTTGAGGTCACCTGTCTGTTCAAGATTGTTTAGCATTCTTTGCTTAGTTACTTTGAGTTGGCTTTATAATAATATGATTTGGATACAATTTATGGAATTGGGTGTTGAGAGCAGGAACCTCTAAGGTCTGAGTTCTGCAATGCAGACGAGGAGGTTGATCAAGCATATTCTGAACTGGTGACCTCAACTGAGAAGACCATACAATGTCTCTTGGACCTACAGGAAGTATGGCTCTTTACTTTGATAGCCCTCAATTCTTTCCTTACCAAATCATTTACACTGAAAAAATCTTTCGAAATCATTTTCGTGCATCTGTAGTGTTTGCTTACTGATATGATGAGCCTATTGTGCAAAATTGAATTTTCTGGCTATATCAAGGCATTTTCACCCTTGACAGTTTTCTGTATCTTTTATTTTGGATGATTACATTCAACAGCCGTGTAAGTGCTTTACATTTGACTGCAGGCTCTAATTGAGAGGAACTCATCTGTCTCACAAAAAAGCAGAAATGGTATGGCTTATACTCCTTGTAATTATTCAGATATTGTGTTGATGTTTCTCTTTCTTTTGAAGACTTAGAGAAACAACCATATTAAACTAGAGGGCACTGATACTATTTTATGCGAACTAGCCATTATTACTAGGGAATCTAGAAACTTCTATAGTTCTGAATGGCCATGCCAGATACACTTAAAAACAAGATGAAACTGATGTAGCAGCTGGAGGTAAAGCTAATCCCATTCTTTACAATGAGTTTCTGCATTATCTCTTAAACAATGAGTGCTGTTTCATATCATGGGGCAGGTAATCTGTAATCCTATGCTTACATGATTTAGATGTCTTATGGTTAAGGCGTATTTTAGACTAGTGGTCTTTTAATGAGTCATAAACTGTTCCATTCATATCCACTCAACTTTGTATTCTTTCTCATGAAATTAATATTCTTTTTTCTTGAGTTTTTACTGTTGAAAAATTTGAACCAAAGTACACCTATTTGCTTTCTTACTTTTGTTGTGATCTCCATTGGTGCATTTTATGACATATCGCTGTGCTATATTATAATTTGATGGACTCTAGGTTCTAGAATGTTGATAATGGAGTTGTACTTTCAATAGTCCCCTGACATTCTTGATGATGCGTGGTTTTTTTATCAGCCATGTTCGATAGATTATTCCCTTGGGGTTATTCTGATACCTTGCTACTTTTCAGGTACTAAAGAGGTATCTTGTGAGGATGCAACGACCTCTGACTCAACATTGCAAGGTGTAGATGAAACTTGGTCATGTGTACAGCGAATGCATTACAGGTACTAGTTTTCCAGTGATGCAAACTTCCTTTATATTTTATTTGGATCTTGTTTTGAACTTAGACTCGACCCTGGGAAATTCTAAAATGCTTCTATGGGTGAATAGCTTCTTTGCATGCCTATCACTATATGATTTGTGTTGATAGAGTTTTTGCTTCAGAATTTTTGAAGCTAATCTCGTTTTTTTATCTATATGCTACTGAGCTTTCTCAACCATGCATCTCTTCTACCTATGCGGGGCCCATGGTACACCGCCGGGGCATCCACTATATGGATGTTGGAGATTAAGGTTACCTTGGTCAATGTTCTTTCTTGGTAACCATCGTCAATCTCCGCAATTCTCATTGACTGTGGATGATAGGTGCTCTGGCTGTGTACCACTTCCTGTGTTATGTAGTGTACTCTCCTTTCAATGGTTCCACTTCTAGTTGACGAATTCTATTTGTTTAATTATGTCAATGAATCAACAGTTTGATGATGGTTATTTTTTATGTGCTCATTTTTGTTTTAAGTTTTTAAAAATTAAATCATTGTATTCAAATTCTTTTTAGTTCGTTCCTTGTGCTGCTTTCAGTGCTCGACATCACCCCATTCCATACCTTATGATGAATTGTGTATTCCTTTATTATTTTCTCATAAATGAGAAGCATGGAAAGTATTCTATAATTGAATATACCTCAGAACCCCCGTTTGGCTCACATCCTTTCTTATTGGGTCGCACTCTATATCTCACTTATTGTCCATTATTTCATTGAAATTCCATTGGACTACGAATTTGCATATTTATAATATGTTGTTCCCACAGAGTTTGTGATTTTGTTGCATAAAAAAGGTAGTTTTCTGACCCTTCCATGCTCAGTGTTCTGACCGTTCCATTCTTGTAGAACTTTTTAAATGGGCTACTAGCTAGTGGGGCAGGGTTAAGTTTATTTGTTCAAGTAGCTGATATTGATATTCAATGTGTAGAATTGCTAGTTTGTCTGTTGAAGCAGCCGACACTAATATTCAATTTATAGACTAGTGTCTCTCACTAGTCTGTTTGAGTATGAACATTAAGATTCAAGTTAGAGAATTGATAGTTACTCTGTTTGTGTAGCTGACTTTAATATTCAATTTGTAGAATTGCTCCATTCAGAGATAGTTCAATAGACAAATGGCAGAGAAAGACACAGATGACCACCGGTGCAGCTGCTTTCAAAAACAAATTACGTGCTTTTAATCAGGTCTGTGAATAAGCCATATGAGTGTCAGGCTTTTTTTTTTGGGGGTGTGTTTGGGGGTGTATAGAGGTGGTGAGTGAGGTTCTGGACAGTCTGGATCACTTGCATTATAAACTTGAAAAACCAGTATGGCTCTTGGATGAGTCAAATTTTTTACAGTGACTTTTTTGCCCCTGATCTTTTTGACTTTCACTTTTTCAACATGTTAAACAACAGAATGGGGTAAAATTTCTATGTTAACTGTTAACAAATTTGACAGGTCCAAGTAGTGTCTTGACATTTCAAAGTATCTCCGTCACCCATATAATCTATGCAGGTGTTCTAGCCTTCTAGGTGCTATCCTAATATTGACCTTGGACTGTCCATGTCTGCATCGACTTGAACACACATAAAATGCATTTATTTTCTGGAATGTGTGCTATATTGCAATAGACTGGAAGACCATGATCCTCGGGGTTGTCACTGTCTGATGAGTTGGACAATGATTGAGACTTGAGAGACAATGAGACTCACCCACCATTATGGAATAGGATCCTAACGGCGAGTCCTGGTCACTCTCCTTCACCATCCATAATTCTATTGGGTGGTTATGATCCTTACGGCTAGGGTTTTTCCCAGTCCATTGGATTGCAATACTAATTTCTTCTCTTCATGAGTGCAGAACATTAGTCAACAAGTGTCTGAACACATGAGAGATCCTAGTCGGATGATCAACCGGATGCAACTCACAAGGTCTTCCCTTAATATTTTTGGAAAGGTACTTTCTTTTTTTTCTCTTAGAGTACATTAGGGTTCAAGCATTTGTACTGTTTAAAAAGTATTTTCTTAATTTTTTTTCATTAAAAAAGGAGTATACGATAATGTGCTAGACTATGGAAGTCAATTGAGGCTATTTTTCAATGAAATGGATGGTGATGAGCATTTATCACCTTTTTATTAAAAAATTTACAATGATGGACAGCGATGGATCGCTATCACCTTTCAATGAAAATTTTGAAATGATGGAGACATGACCCTGGTAGTGGAGTTCCTCACTTTCCATCGTTGTCCATTTCATTGGATGGTGATGATGGCCAGAACTGAAGTCCATTGGTGTATATAGTTACTTCAGAAAAAAAAAGATACAACTGATTCTCGTGCCTACTTCTCTCCAGGATGCAGAAGGGGGTGCAAATGGAAAGGAAGAGGTTTGTATATATTTCATTTTTAATCTTCACTACGATAATTTTGGTTGGTAAATTTATGCCTTAATGAAAGCCCAAAGGTTTGATACTTTGTCCTTGACTCATATTTGGCGATTTCCTTTATAGAGAAAGGATCACCAGAAAATTCGAATGCCTTCTTGATATAATGGGGGTTTTACTCAATTGAAATTTGTGGATTCTTGTAGGTTCTCAATGCTGATGGTGATCCAGAGCTTTTGGATGACTCTGAATTTTACCAACAACTTTTGAAGGAGTTCTTAGAGTCTTTCGATCCTAGATCTTCTGGTAGAGTTCTGTTGTTGAAAAATGGGTATTTTATTAGAATGGACATTTTTACCATGTGTGTGTGAGAGAGAGAGAGAGAGAGAGAGAGAGAGTTGAAGCTTCTTATATCTGCACTGGTAAAAATTATGCATGTGAGTTCTGTTTTGCCTCATCTTTTGTTGTATATAGATTAGGGAATGTGAAAGAAATTGACTTTTCAGTGTTCTCACAGGAGCTAATGTAAATGGTTTGAAAAGGCCACAAAAGAAGAGGAAGGTGGTTGACAGGCGAGCTTCAAAGAGTCGCAGGATAAGGTGGGTGTATTGCAACCCATTTAACTATGTACCCCTCTCTCTCTCTCTAGCATGGTTTGTATCTCATGCAACTACGTATATCTTTTCCACCCCCACCCCCCCCCCCCAAAAAAAAAAGAGAAAAAAAGGAATAATAGAAAACCCTCTCGCCAATATCATTGTTTGTGTTAGTTGATATATTCGAGCTTAATATGTTCATATTTTTGCAGGTACAATGTTCACGAAAAGATTCAGAATTTCATGGCACCAATGCCAATGGTGCTGCCTGATATGGCACCTAAACTGTTTGAGAACTTGTTCGGCCTGCAAACTGTGAACTCGGCTTAGACCTTCCATCTGTTCTTAGTCTTAGCCGACTTGTGAATCGGCTTAAACATTCTATTTGTTCTTAATTTTGGCTGGCTTTATCCAATTTTCTCTATTTGTGTACAATATTGTAACTTATTGTTCTCTTACATTTGCCATTTGTGGTAGAGTTTCAATCATCAGGCATTTTTTCCTATGTATGGCTCTATAATTGCATGGAGAGAGAGAGAGAGAGAGAGAGAGAGCTGGTAAAATGCTTAATTCAATGGAAATGCTCACTAGGAAAGGAGTGAAACAAATATTCGATTCATTTTTTTAAGGTTGATTCATTCTTTTAAGGAAAATTCTCAGACGATAGAGTTTCTGAGTGGGCCGATGCATATGTACTTGTGTGGCCCCCCTCAAAAATCCATCTTAAAGATGGATTCTAGATCTAAACTTTTTTAGAGATTCGTGATTTAAGCCATAATTCTTGAACATACAAAATAGAATAAAAAAATTTAAAATTTTAATGCATTATTTTTAAGAACCTTTTTGCACCCTTCGCTTGGGTGCCCTTTTTTTTTCAATGTTTTTCTTAAGATAGATGTTGAATGATCAAAATGCACTTAATTCTTCCAATTTAAATTTTTATCATTTTCAGCTATTCCAATGTATTTTGATGGGTTTTTTTAAATTAAAATAAAGCATATGGGTAAATGTTAAATAGCTTATCTGAAAAGGAGGGAAGTATGAGTGACAAGCCCTTATAAAATCGGGTTATATGGTCTACACCTTCTCAACGACTGTCAATGGACCGGGCCAGCCGGGCCTTGATTCCAATGGGGTTGCCCGGTTGACCTGTTCGGGCCAAATAGAATCAAACAAAAAACAAAATAAAAAAGATAAAGATAAAATCGTTGAAACAATAAAGATAAAATTGTTGTGTCGGCAGTGGCCTAAGCCCAGCCCTCGCGCCGGCCAAGCCTTAGTTATTTGACGTTGGGCAACCCGGCTCTAACTTGTACAACTTTTTTCACTTTACATAAGGGAAAAGTTTATATAATGTTGCAATCTTAAAATGTAAAACTACGGATGCATTTTAAAAATCCATTGGAAAAGGTTGTTTTAATATTGAAATGTCCTCTAATTGATCATCTCGACATCGAGAGGAATGACTATAAAAAAAAAAGGATTTTGAGTCTTAAAAATGGTGTATCTTACGACACATTATTTAGATGGTTCATTTTCAAGTTTTTCATATATTTATAGATCTACTTGATTTTAATCATTTTTAGAGTTTAGATTTTTATAATTAGATATGAAAATAGATTTTGAAAAAATCTTAAGAATATTTTACATCAAAATTATATGTTATGATAAAATTTGAAAGTCACGTTAAATGGGTTGTTTAATGTTGCAACCTTATGGAAACCCCACCCCTTTGTAAAAGGCCAAAATATATTCTACCACTCTGGATATAGAATGTCCATTTACTTCCACGGTTAAACCGCTATCTAAAATTAATTTTAGAAACCAAAATGTTGAGGATGTAACATCTTCAACCCATAGATTAATCTCAATAAAAGAGGTGTCTAATTGTACGTATTTGAAAAATAATAATGTCTTGAGATTGAATAGAGACCATCCAATTTTTTGACGGTGAGTTCTAAGTGTTAGAAAACCTAAATTTTAACTTTTTTTAAAACTAATCATCTACTAGTTCTTAGGTGTTCCTAAATTTTAAAAATTCCTGAGGGCATAGTATACCTGCTCTTATGAAAATGCAGCATTCCTTATTCGTTTTAGAATTTATCTCGTAAGGAAATATATAAAAAATATGATCATTTATTTTTTGTGTACGGAGATTACAGTCATTTCTAGCCATTGGATTTGGAATCGGAGGGCTGAGACAGTGTGATTGATTAGGCTTTATAATCTTAACCATTACTTATAATTACATACAAATATAAGGGGTAAAGTGACCAACTTATCCTGCAGGAATGATAAGAAATGGCAAAGCAGCAAAGGCTTTTGGCCTTCGGCAAACTACTGGGAAATTTGATAAATGATAAAGGGTATTTATGGCATTATGAAATATCCACATCCCGCCCACGTTTGGCTTCTTGGCCTCTTACTCACCAATCAAGAAACTCAGTCGAGAGAGAGAGAAGAGGCAAATGATTCAGGCCATGCAATTGCATACTCCATTTCCATGTAAGAATGAAGAACAATTCTAGAGAGAGAGTGAGAGGAGAGAGAAAGAGAGAGATGTATGTCTCTGTTCTTATATGCACAACTATCATGGGCTTTTTATCTATTTATTTCTGATTATTTATTTTTTGTTTGGTACTTTTTTATGGAAATGGAGAACTCATATGGGCTTCTTTTCTACACTTCCAGGATAAAATTTTTATGGGTTTTCCATTGCCAATTATCTGGTTTTATTTTATTTATTTTTGGCAAGTTTAGTGCTTCTTGGTATTACTAATTGTGACTCATAAACTTCTTTTTTTTATTTTCCTTTGAGATTTTTAGTAAATTTTATTGTCCAATATTCCCCTCCTTCTCAGACTTACCAAGTTTTGGGCATATCTGGTAATTTTGGGCATATCTGGTAATTGGTGATAGTATTACTGCTGTTTTATTGTAATATTGCTACCAGAACACATTTTGATGATTCTGATTACATTTTTTTTTTTTGCTATAATGAGAACTGGGTACTATTTGCCATTTCATTTCTTTTTAAAGCTTAATCTTCTTACTAGTTGTGCTCTCTCAGAAAGTTTTTGTTTTGAGTCTTGGGTCCTTGCTTTTTGTATTTATCCCGCCCTCCTTTAAATTTTATGCATTATCCTTCTCTTTCACATTCTCTTTCTTGGGGTGATTTATAAATTATAAAATGTTTTGAGGATCTTTCTATGTCTCAATTATATATAATTTATACGTGTCTAGAAACTCACAACCTCTGAATTTTTACGCTTGGGAGTGAACCGAAGTAATGTTACAAATGGCGCTAGCTGTTCTTCACAGGCATTACTGAAAGCTCACTCCCAGCTGTCCGATTAGATTGGATGGTTGTTGTGTCTTTGAACAAATAAATTGTATGTAGAGACACAGAGAAAGCTTGCCTATATGTTTAGTATGGGAATATTGTATTTAGGAGCATTCACTATTTACCTTTCCCATTAAACACAATTATGTCTAATCATTTCTTTGTAAATTTGTTTTGTAGGGGAGACCTTTTTGTTTCATTCTATTTCGAATCAGTTTACAGATAGGGTGACTACTAGAATGAGATGTTCTTATAAGAACCAACTGAATCATTGTCCCAACAGATCTCGCCTTATAGATATGAGGTAATTTCTCCAGGCGACGTTCTGATTCTCCACACGCATATAATTTTATTAGTGTCCGGATAGAACCAGCCATCCCACTTGATCAAATGGTTGGGAATGAGCTAACAACCATTGTCATACATTAGTTATGACCCGACAAACACACTTAGGACCAACTTGTTACATTGTTTTCAACTCATTCCCATCCATCCAATCATGATTGGACAGCTGTAAGTCTCCATTCTCCAGACACATAAATTATATGTGTGGGAATTGTGAAGTCGCATTGCAAGGTTTTCATTATTTTTTGTCTCTATTATTCCATGCTTGTGGCATCTAGTTTGTTTTGAAAGTGTTTTAGCTAACTCTTTTTTTGTTTTTCTGAATCAGTTCTTGGAACAAAGAATGGTATAGACATATACCTTCTTTTGATGAATGTAAAGGACGCAGAGGTTTCACTTTGTTCACATTGGTCACTTATGGAACATCTGTTGCATTCCCAGCCTTTGCAAAGAAGGGGATGAGCCAGTTTGATGAAAGGCGCTTACTTGAACAGAACAGAAGTATTCAAAAAGCGAATAAGGCACCTGAGGACTTCCCGAATTTTATTAGAGAAGGTCAATTTCTTCTTCGTTTCATGCACAAAACAGTGCTCTAGAGGTGTAGTACTTAAGTCGCAGCTCACCTAAGAATCTATTGTAAAGATTAGTGGCCTGATAGAATATGCATTTGAATGTGGATGAGATGTCAAGTTCCATTTCCTAGTTCGCTTACTCTTTTTAACATTTTGAGGAAATGATGCTCAGTTGATTTAAAAATTGGATATGTTATTTAACATTGTTCAAGCTTGTTTTGTATGGTATTATATAGGAAAGTATCCGTTTCATTTAGTTACAGCTACTTTTCCTATCATGTATAGCCGATCTCAATTAGTTGGGAAAAGTCTTTGACAATGATGATGATTTTTCTCTTCATGTATATTTGATTTCAGCATCACGAAGTACTGTATATTATTATCTTTGTTGGTTAAGTAATTTAAGTTCCATGGGTTAGTTCTTGACAAAATATTGTGATTGCCCTCATATGACTAAAAAAATCCATCTGATTATTGCCATCAGGTTTTCAAGTCAAAGTTGTGACTTCTGAGAACTATGTGAAGTGTGACTCAGGACTTATCTACTTGGATATAGAAGTTGGTAAAGGTGATTGTCCAAAGGCTGGTCAGCAGGTTTTTATTTCATTTTCTTTTTAGCATGCTATGTTTTTCAACCTTTGCATGTTTTGGTACTGCTGCTATGGATGGAAAATGTGAACAATTGTGTTGTGATTATAAGAGTTGCTAAACAGAATGGTGGTTTGGATATCAAAGAGAAAATCTCCTGTTGTAACCATAGCTAGATCAGACTAAGTTGGAAGGGCTATTAAAATTGAGTGACTAGATTGGGCTAAGTTTCCATTAAAATTGAATGTCGAGTACTCATGAGAATGCAACCTCAGTGTGCATTCATGTGTGCCTCTCACTCTTATGCCTGCTGGTTGCATCTCTGATGTAGTTTGACATGTGCCTATACTCAGTTCTAATTAAAAGAAAAATTGAAAATTGATTATGTTCACATTACCAACTACCCAAGAAAAAGTGTCCATAGAGCTTATGATTTATTTCAAATGACTTTTCAATGCCCATGTCTACTATATTTTCAAGTTTTGTTGCAGTTTGTTTTTTGGCTCTCCTTTTTCCTGAAAATTAACTTCACTGATTAAAGAACCAAGACAAGGTTGCATTTGAGAAAGGTATCCTAAATTTCCTGAATCAGTAAGAGGATCAACATCTCTATTGGCTTGTAAGAAACAACATGAATTATATTTGGAAAAAATTTTCGTGCATCCTGAGACGCATAAGTGTGCCCTGGTTATTGCTTGATTAGGATTGAAACACATCTGAAATGTATGCAAATCCATTTCTGACACAAATTCATGATTCTGGGGCTCCAAAATTGGTGCGGTTCTGATGATCTTTGTCAAATTGAAATGAACAGTTCAAAAATAAAAAGGTACAAGATGCCTTAAAGGCTCTTTTCCAGATTCATAAGCATGTTGATTGAGATAATAGACCTGTATGGTTTTGGATCCTTAATCCATCTCCAAGATGGATTTTGAAGGGTGGAGTCACTATAATAAGGTGTCCCTGGATGCACCTAGACCCCCGCCCATTATATATAGTATCATCAGCTTCACCATCACTAGTGCTAGTTAATTTGATCCCATTAAGATGGTGAGTTATTGATCTTCTCAAGCTCCTCAGATAGTAAAATGTTAAAAAATGGAAGTAGGATTCTCAGAGCTTATTAAACTGTAGCCCTAATCCTAATGCTTCTCTGGGTAGGTGACATTTCACTATACTGGCTATAATGAATCGGGTCGCCGGATTGATAGCACCTATCTGCAAGGTTCTCCTGCCAGGATTCGTCTTGGAACTAATGCATTGGTTCCAGGTAATTATGCATATATGCTTCAGCTCTTGAATAGATTTGTATGTGATCTCTCTCTCTCTCTCTCTCTCTCTCTCTCTCTCTCATACATGTAATGCATATCACAAATGATGCATGTTGGGCAGGAAGGCAGGCTTGGAGACTCGATTAATTCTGATAATTTTTTGGAAGGCTCAGATTGGCTTTTAATCTTTTACAGGATTTGAGGAAGGCATACAGGACATGAGACCGGGTGGTAAACGAAGAATAATCATACCCCCAGAACTTGGACCTCCGGTCAGTTGCACTTCACTTTCATTGTATATTTTCATGCCTGATGTTGTGTGTGGGTGTGTATGCGTGTTTGTGTGCATATTATCATGTGCATAAAGTCGTGTGTGTATCTGTTTATGCAGATTTTCTACAGTCCCTTTTCTTAATATTGAGTTCTTTATTCGTCGATTATTAGGATCACACATTGTTTAGTTACTATTTTTATCGCTTAATGTTGTCATTATTTGGTAGGTTGGGCCATCGACTTTTTTCAGCGCGAAACAATTCGAGGTTTTTGATGTGGAGTTGTTGAGTATCCAGAACTGCCAACGAAGGACAATTGCATTCTATTCTGATCTTACATGTAATTAACAAGTCTATCTACAAATAATCATCTTTTTTTTTTTTTCTGGTTAGACCGTAATTGGCTTATGAGATTTGAATACAATTCCTGTGCCATTGATAATCCTTTCTTCACCTGAGAGAGATACTTGTTGCATGCATGGAATTTAACAAAGCATCTGAAAAATTCTAAAGGCTACCTTTCAAGAATCCTTGTGTAAGAACTGAAAATTTTATAGAGTTTTTGGATTTGAATGCCAATGCAGTAGCTGAAAATCAAAGTCTATAAAATCTCTTCCAGTGTTGAATGGTTGAAAACCAAAACCTCTATAAAATATGATTACTTTTTGAAAGGTTTTATGTGAGCTACACCCCTCGTGAAAACTTTTGTATTTATAGATGCTTTAGTGCTTCTGCATAACAAATCCTGTACACACTCTTATATGGGCAGTGTAAGTTTCTTGCAGGTATACATAATTTAATATTTTGAATGTTGAATAATGTGTAAGGCATAGTTTTGGAACCTCCGATTACTCCGTTGATCAATTGAATCACTTAAAAGAGTAGGGGAGAGTTCTTTTCCATGTTGTTTTTTCAGTTTTTTGGCCGTATGGCCCGCAGAAAAGAGCTTGTTTGCATGCTATTTTTTTTTGCCTCCAATAGAGTTGAATAGGAATGGGTGGTCTGCCATTTTGGTGCGTCATTATTTATGGGTGCAACAACTTGAAGAATTGAATCCCTCTCATCAAAAAAATGGTTATATATATATATATATAACTTAATGAAATTCCCTTATCGACAAAACATGACCACTAAGAGTTTTTACGATAGCAACAGATGGAAACAACTCTTTTATTGTTGTTAGCTAAAAACCCAGATATTGTTGTTGTCATCATCATCAAAACTTTTTCATCATCAAAGCTTTTTTTCAACTATTAAAGTCGGCTATACGAATCCTAATATGTCATTCTATTCTACTCCATCAATGATCACAACTTGCGATAAGTGTTCATATTTTTTCTAAATTGTCATAAGTGATTATGTATGCCTACTCTCACACTTGACCATAAAGTAAGTAAAGATGAGGCTTGGATATTGCTAACCAGTCATCTAGATAGGGCCTAATAAATATTTTTTATTCATGAATAGTTAGTGTGAACCAAACATGCCTTTTGTTTTTCTAATAGGCATGCCAAAGGCATAAATTCTAATTATTTGATCCTTCCAAAACTGATATTAACAATATATAAAGGAAAAAAATTTATATACCGTTACAATCTTAAAATGTAGAATTAAAAATGCACCTAAAAAATCCGACAAAAAAAATTGTTTGATTGTTCGAAAACTGTCTACTTGATCATCTCAACATTGAGATGTATGAATAGAAGAGAAAAAAAAAGTTTCAAATCCATGAAATAGTGTATTTTGCAACACATTATTTGGACAATCTATTTTCAAGATTTTCATGTGTTTTTAGATCTATTTGATCTGAACCATTTTAAGAGTTTAAAAAGTTTATAATTAGAGATGAATATAGATTCTCAATCAAACCTAAAATTTTTTTATGGGATTGTATACAATAAGACCGTTTACCTTTGATACAAGGTAATCACAGTTACTTATAATCATCCGATGTGAAATTTGATTGTTTGGATGTGCCACAAAGTTCAAGAAAATTTATTTTAAAGTTTGAATTTAATCAATAAAATAATTACAATCACCCAATTTCACATCCAATAATCAATAATAATGTATACTTTCCTATTTTTTATATCAAAATGACATGATAAAATTTAGAGGTGCATCTTAATTGGATTATTTTAAGGTCACAACTTTATGCAAACCACACCCATATGTAAATGTGCGTATCTATGAAGGAAAATGTTTCATAAAGCCGCAGTCACTTCTCCAATATCACCAGAAAAATCAGATTCAACATCAAAACCTTCATCACCATGTGTTTTATTTTAAACAGGAAAAAAAAGAAAAAAAGAACAATTCAAATACCAATAATAGTCTATATGGCAACAATAATTTTTGGACAGGCCATTTCAAGTCTTCATGCATCTTGAAGTCCTAATTTCAACACAGAGAGGAAATGAATTTGCATGCCTTCAGAAGGTTTTCCGGCAATGGATCTGGCTTTTCTGGTGAGATTTTAAAGTACAACTTTATACAACCACCGCTGTGCCGAATCCTCAACCTTTATATAGTCATGTGTCCAACCAGTGCAGAGTCATTTACTCTATATATGCATACATATCACATTTCATCACACTTCCGCATATCAAACCTCTCACAAACGCATATATCCCCCCCCCCACCACACACACACCATCTGCTTACATATACAATGTAAAATATAGGTAAATGGGAGGAGGGGGGGGGGAGGGAGAGAGAGAGACTTCGTGCACATGGCATACAAGAGGGCATCCTCTTGATAGATAATACATTCATATCTCAACAATGTGACCTGAAGGACATGCAGAAGAGACCTTCAAAATTCTAATTACAATTGGCCCCCCTTACAACGAAAGACTGCAATTCCTAGGATAATCGTACCCGTAGAAAAAGTAAATACAAATAAAACAAAATTTACCAAAATTGATAGTTAGCCAAACACCAGAGAATCTCTCCACCGTTGGATCCCATGGCCCTCAGGACATGCCGTCCTATCTTTGGCAAGTAGCAATCAACCAGCAGCTGGTGTGATCCCAACTCAAATCACTTGGCCCGAAGTGGCAGCATCCTTACCGTCCACAAAAATCATTATCAACCAATCAACAGCTACAAGGCTTCCACGTATCACAGGTATTGTCGTAGGCTCTCTCCACTTAGTGTCTCCATGTCCTTGAGGATCTCTTGAGCCAAAGTCTTAACCTGAAGTTCAGCATCCTCGAGCAGCTCTCCGAGAAAAGGAATAGTCTCCGGCAGCAAAACTAGATATTCTTCTTTCAGATTATTGAGCAGGTACCTCACTACTCTCAACCCTAGAATTCGTGCCCTCATTTTCTCACTCCGAGTTTGCATCAAAACCTATAAAAAGACAAGTGACAACTTGACTGCATTTCAAAAAGACATGCATGCACATACATAATTTTTACACACACGTCTACCTTTCTGAATACATATCAAGATGCATACATAAGTATGCATACATACCCATCACGATGGGTACGTAAGTACAAGCCAATATGCACAATTATATAATGATGCATGCATGCAGGTCAACACGTGAACATGAGAAAATGTAATTCTGCATGTAGACAATGTCCAGAATCAAGACATATTGACATATACACATATGCATAAGCTCCCATACAAGATGCATATTGACTATTTGTTAAGGATCAAATTTAAACCATAAACACATGCATGTGTGCAATTTCAACTTAGCCACATGAAGCCAAATGACACAGGGGTTGTCTTGGTCATCTTAAAGATGATCTCAGTTTGATGATGCTATACTGAGGATACTAAAGTCCCTTTTTTGCATAATTAGGGCATAAATAACATCATGTAGAAAACAAGTGTGTTTAGATGTACATGCATACTTGCAAGCATAGACAAATATTAAAGGAGGGCCATTGCAAAAATCCAAGAAGGGGTACATAGATGAGAAACTTTTACTCTACCTCGTGATTCAAAGGCTTCCACAGAAGGTCGGTGCCCGCTGTTACAGCCATCTGACCAAGGCAAGAAACCAAGAGGCCGTCCACTTTGCTAACAGAAGGAACCGCCAACTCATCTAGACCCTCTGGAGGGTCTACCAAAAATTGTGCAACAATTGCCTTACACAGAGTCTGCATCAAGTATTTTCAAAACTACATAAGAAATACTCACAAATCCTGAACAGAACGTGCAAAAGGTAATAAAAGAAGAAGCTACAGCTAAAAATGTCAATTAGTGACATGCTCATGAGAGCAACACCATGCTCATGAAAGCATGAGAGAAAATTAATGACATGCTCATGAGAGAGAGAGAGAGAGAGCGAGAGAGAGAGAGAGAGAGAGAGAGAGAGAGCTCCCAATAAGAATAGGTATAAATTATCAAAATTATAAGAATTAAATGGTGAATGGGGGAGAACTTGCTTGTGTGTGTGTATGCAATAGAGAGAGGTATAAATCATCAAAATTAGAAGAATCAAATGGTGAGAAGGGGGAGGACTCGCCTGTGTGTGTTAGCAAGGGAGAGAGAGATCCTAAAAAAATAGGTATAAATCATAAGAATCAAATGGTGAAAGGGGGGAGAACTCGCCTGAAACTTATCAGAGTCGAGAAACTTTAAATTTTCCTTGTCATGAAGGAAGCATTTATGCAAGGATGATAAAATCAATGCTCTTAAATGCCACTGGCTTGGCAACAATGGTTTTAATCCTCTTGTGTTGCTATTCGTTTCCATGAATTTAGCCTTCTTCTTCTTTTGCATAGATACCCCAGAGTCCAAGAACTCGTCATCAGTCAGCGCATGCATGCAACCACTAATTAAGTACTTGAAATAGGGCACAAAGAGAGACCTACATGAAAACATTCCAAAAAGTATGGAATGAGACAATGTCGACACACATAAACAAAAACGAAACACACACAGAATTCACATAAGGGAAGCATTTGTGTCTGATGCTTTGAAAACACATAAAACTGCACTACTGAAGCTGTAGTTGTCCCCATGTGAACACAATCTCTCAACCAGAAAAAAAAACAAACATCCAACATACAGAAAAGAGCGAACAGTAGAAATAAAAATTACAACATAGTGTCTAAACTACTCTTTCTTGAGGTTAGTCTTACATAAAGTCTAAAATTGCAATACATGAAAATGCAGCAACAAAACCAATCAGCTGCATAGGCCCTGTAAAGTATATTAAAATATTGGGTGAATAATTTTTTTTACAGGATGATATAGCGGTGGACGCCTGAAGGGTGCACAAGCACCTAACGCTTCAGATTGAAGCTAGCCTCTAGGCCTCATCAAAGGAATACTGAACAATTCCAGTTTTTATTTTTAATTTTAAAATTATGTTCATATGAAATTTGGGTTAATTGATTTTTCTAAGGGAACCAAATAAATATAACAAAAAAATATAACAGCCTAAATTTTAGATAAATATAAAATTTGCATAAAACATAAAAAACAAAAAACAAAAATAGATTTTGGCTGTTGGACATGGCCTTAATATGAACTGCCAATATCCACATGATATGGACAGGAGACTTTCCCATTTTTTCATTTTTATCAGATGTCTAATTTCTATTACAATTTGGGGATTCCAATCAATTTTAAGACACTAACAATCAATTTTGATTTCTCTTTGAAATGAATGCGAATGATCTGCGAAAGTAGACAAGCCAATCCAGTAATAGAAAGATAATATCACCTGTGTTTTTCAGCAAGCTTATCAATCAAACTGTAGAAGGCTATGTTGCGGTCTAAATTTCTCTTCGTGGTCAACCCGTTCTCTTCTACTTCAGACTCCGCCCACTCGAGACTACGAATGAAAAGGGGTTTGAACATGGTTTCTGTGAGCTTCATTGTTAGGGTGACAATTGCATTTATAACACTTCTTTCCACCACGTTTATGTTTTTGATTGCTACAGGATGCTTGCGTCGGAGATCAAGGGCCACCAAAGAGATTTTAAATATGTCGGCATGGTATGTCACCACAGAGGATCTGTCCATCTTACTAATTTTGCTTGCCAACATTTCAAATAGCATAGACAAACTCAATTCTCCATGCTCAACTGACTTTGAAAATATCTTAAGCAAAGGAGGAATTAGGAGACGTTCCTGCATGAAAAAAAGGTTTTCCATATCAATACGAACAACATTCTGCATTATGAAACTATTCAAATGTTTTTTTCTTAGTAGAATATAATTCTAATCATAACCACTCAAAAGGGCAGCATGTTGAAATACAAGGAGCAGGTTTTCCAAAATTGGCTTATGTATAAGGAAATCCTCAAGTTTTGGCGCCTTTTCAAAGCAACACTAAGCAGTTGCTTACCCATTTGCATCATCCAGTACTCACCATTCCATATGAAATGGCCGACCTTAATCATATTAAATATTCATTCCTTGATTAAAATATCCCAGGCTTTGTCTAGTTCTTCCTGGTTGCTTTAGTTAGACGGATCTAGATTTAGGTCTGAATACATTCAATACAAAATCAGTATAGAGAAGAGATAAGGAGAAAAAGAGAAGATGAAGACGAGAAACATATGAGAGAAATTCGGCAAAACATGCAGATTGGTCTATGGTGTTAGACAAATCACAAATATGTGTACATATTATTGACATGGAACAAATGGAAATAATATAAGCTTATTTAAATAATAAACCAAAGTATAACCCTACTAAATAATGTATTTCATTGATGCCCCTAACTAGATATCACACTTTCCACACACCCCTAAAGCTGAAGCATAGATATCGATGATGCCAGCATGGTAGTTGTATCCTGTAGTATTTCACGTGCGATTGCTTTTGTGAGGATATCTACCAGCTGATCTTTTGATGTCAGCTTCGTACAAGTTATTCCAGCTGCTACTCTCCCCCTCCTGAAATGACAGCCACTTCAATATGCGTTAAGTTTCTCATGAAATACAGGATACTCCGAAATGTGAATGGCCGCTTCTTTATCACAATGAAGAGTCACAGTAACTAAACTTCAGATCCATGATCAGTCAATTCAATACAATTCTAAGCCGTAGCCTTGTATTCTGCAATAGCACTTGATCAGGCCACTTCCTTCTGTATTTAACGTTTCCAAGAGACTAATTACCACCAACAAAAGTACAAGAAGCTGTGGTTGACTTTCATCAGTTTCTCTCCTAGTCATATCTAAATCATGAAAGGTGTGGCTATGTGCAATTCAAGGCTTATAAAATCAAAATTTTTCTTCTTTTTTTTATTATTGAATCAGAATTCCACTTACAAGTGCCAAAATACATTGTTGCAAACGAATATTAAAACACTAAATACAACCTAGAACCTTTTCTTTTACGGCCAAAATAAGTAGATACAGACCAGGAATAAAAACCAAGCTTCTACTATCAATTTGAATACAAATAATGTTCCTAGAAAATCACACTAAATATGGAAATCATTCCTAACCCACTTTGAATCTTACCCGTATTCGTTAACTCCTTTTTTTTTTTATCAACACACGGATACAAATGGACAGATCCATCAGCGTCATTAATAGCACTTGCCACTTCCCTCTGTATTTTACCTTTCCAAGAGACTAATTACCACCAGCAAAAGTTCAACAAGCTGCGGTTGACTTTCCATCAGTTTGGCTCCTAGTCGTATCTACATCATGAAAGATGTGGCAATGTGCAATTCAAGGCTTATAAAATTTTTCTTCTTTTATTTATTATTGAGTTAGAATTCCACTTACAAGTGCCATAATACGTTGGCGCAAATGAAAATTAAAACCCTAAATACAACCTAGGACCTTTTCTTTTATTGCCAAAATAAATTAATAATATCCAGGAATAAAAACCAAGCTGCTACTATTAATTTAAGTACAAATAATGTTCCTAGAAAATCACAATAAATATGGAAACATAACTGAAAAACAAAAAAAACAACCAAGAAGATTTACTTGATTACGCCTAGGGTCAACCCCAAAGGATTTAGTCTACCTCACACCGGATTTCCTGACCGGCAGCGTGCTTCGATCTCATTGGTCTTACTGAATTTTGGGAGCCATGAAGCTTCCTTAGGCAATACCTCTTCAACTAAGGTTTTAGAGAGTATAAGAACATACAATTAGGGCATGCTCCAAAAAAGCACCTCCCTTTCTCTAGGGTTAGATTAGACCTCTCTACGGAATGCCAATTAGGATTAGGCGTGCCACACTCTTTAATTTGTTTATGAGTGGCATGACACTAATGGTGAGAGAGAAGACAGATGGGCACAATAGAGAGAGAGAGAGAGAGAGAGAGAGAGAGTAGTAGCGTGTGGAGAGAGAAGA